GGATCGCGGGCAGTGGGCCAACAAACTGGAGTTCCTGCTGGCTGTGGCTGGAACTCTGGTGGGACTCGGAAACCTCTGGAGGTTCCCCTATCTGTGCTTCAAGAATGGAGGAGGTGAGGACTAGAACACAGAAGTACACAGAGTACACAGAGGAGTACACAGAGGAGTACACAGAGGAGTACATTTAATATTCATGAATTGTTTAGATCAGTTTTAGTTTAAATTAAAAAAAAAACTCTTTGTGATTTAAACAACAATTTCATCAGTTTATTTCATCAGTGGTTGTGAGTTTTTTTTTTTTGTTTTGTTTTTTTTCCGGAGGTTTCTTAACGTAGCTCGGCAGCTAATGTTGAAACTTTTTACCATTGAGTCAAATGTGCTCAAGATATCAGTACAAATACAGCGCATCACGACCGTTCTGTGAAGACGGTCACGTCATAGTTAGTAGGAATGAGACGACTTGCCTAGCCTGTTAGCATCGTTAGCGTTTCGAGTGCGTGACATCCCAACGATCAGACTAGCGTTAAGTTAAATACGGTTGGCTAACTGTCGATTTAGGAGCAACAAACCCCTGACAGTGTCACGCTAAAAAAAAGAACGAAGTGACCGATCGGCGCGTCTGGACGTTACGGAGAGGTTCCGGGTTCTACGGTTCTTACAGGAACGCCTCTTTTTTTTGCGATCTGCTTCTTCTCGTCTTCTGACAAACGTGCGGTTTCTTTCAGGTGCGTTCCTCGTCCCTTACGTCCTGTTCCTGCTGGCCTGTGGAATCCCGATGTTCCTGGTGGAGACGGCCATGGGTCAGTTCACGTCCCAGGGCTGCATCACCTGCTGGAGGCACTTCTGCCCTTTGTTTGAAGGTGGGTGGAAAGAACCGACCGAGTTGGGTTTGAGTTGACGACGACGACCATGACGACGATGACGACGATGACGACGACGACGACGATGACGACGACGGCGACGACGACGACGATGAAGAAGAGGAGGAAGACAGGGTTAGAGGTGGACGCCCACCCTGTGTGTGGGTGTGTGCGTGTGAGTGTGTTGTTTTTCGCTCCACTTATGTATAACCCAATCTCTGACCCGCCACCTACTGACCTTTGACCTCAGGCAGTCACTCGGTGCCTCCCGCTCCGGTCTCACAGGTCTGATGGGATTTTTTTTAAAAACAGTTATTCTGGAGATATTTTAAAGCTGACGTTACACACACACACACACACACACACACACACACACACACACACACCTTCACACAGTGCCTCAGTGTGGTGGTCCTGGAAATGGTACTAGAAATACTACTGTACTTGAGTATTTGTTTTTATACCAGGTGATTCCATGAACCTGCACTGGTACCAAAAAGAGTTTAGACCAGAGTTCAGATTGAAAAAAAAAATATATTACATATAAATATATCCCATATATATGGGGTCGGGGGGGCAGAACTTGGAAGGAGGGTTAATATATGGTTCCTCTGGGGCTCGAACCCATGACCCTTTTGTGTAAGGCAGCTGTGATACCCGCTACATCCATAGCTGTTTTAACGAGTTCTCCTCATCAGTCCGTCATGTTGTTACGTCCCGGTAATGAATAGTTGAAGGTGATTGGTCGGTCGGCGCGGCGTCAGCTGACCTCATCAACGTCTGCGTCTCAGCCCTCCTCAGCTCTGGATCCTGGTTCTGGTTCTGTGAGTTTCACAGGTCGCTGGACTGAAAGAAGAGTTCAGTTGTTAAAAAACTCCAGACTTTCTCACCAACTCTTTTTGTTCCGGTTGTTTGTTGAACATGACGACAGAGAACGCGTCGCCGCGTTCCACAGATGGAGAACAGAACCTCATTGTTGTCTCCTGCTCTTTGGAGAGCACACACACGCAGACCTGCCCTTAGAACTTTCCAGATCGTTTCAGTCTGAAGGAACTTTTTTTAACCTGTTAATAACAGGGAAAACAAAGTCGTTTTTTTGACTTTTATTTCAGTCGGTTTATGAATATTTGGAGTCTGTCGTTATTAGAGAATAATCCGTCTGCGACGTCAGCCGTTATTAATCACTTCAGTTATGAGTTCGGAGCTTTAACAGTTTCTGCCTGTGCCAGGTTTTTTTTTTTTAATCCACGGTGAACTCTGCTGTAGCTGCAGTTACACAAAAGTGTTTTTTTCTCCTGGTTCTGGATTCCGCGGATTCTGTTGTTTGACCTTGTTTTGTCAAAGAATCATTTGTTCAAGAATAATTCGCGGTCACCGTGAATTAAAAATAAAAATAAATAAAAAGTCATACTTTATTTATCTCACACTTGGGAAAATCAGGCTGGCTCTGGGAGTCGAACCCAAGACCACCTGCTGTCTACTTCTGAGGCAGGCGTGCTAACCGCTAACCGCTAACCGCCGCTACACCAAAGAACCACCGACGGTTGTTTGCTTCATTTTCTGGGCCTGAGAATCACAGCCGTGATTGGGTCGTTTGAACAGAAGAATACTGAGTATTGTCCAGATTTTCATTCTGTGTTGTTTTACTGTATCGTATCGTAGTATTTAAGGAGTCGCTAACGCTGTATCTGCAGTTAGCGATACTGACCTTCAGTCTTTTTTTTTTTTTTTTTTTGTTAAACAGAACTGAGCGGATTCACAGTCACTGGGACGATTGTTCTTCAGTCACACCTGTGTTTCCTTTGAGAACTAACGAGATTATTAATCACAGTCACCCAACAATACACACATTCAGGGAGTATTTGCCGGTGTGTACCAACAAAGTACACATACTTTACTGTAAGATGTTTGGATCGCAGCGAGGAGGCCGGGCCGCGTCCCGCCGAGCTGCTCCGACATCAGATGACTTTCAGCAGTGTCACAATCGTTCACATGTGATTTACTACAAAGGAAGTGTGTGACACCCTGGGGGGGAGGCAGGGGGGGGCAGGGG